AAATCTAATATCATTGTTGGTGACGAGGGAAAAGGGCCGACATTGACGACTGAATGTCAACAGTTGCATCGCAAGTGATTGGATAATCTGGAACAAGAAGTGAGTAAAATGTTCATTGGTTTATTGTGGTGAGCCTATAGAGGGTGGTGCGACAGTTTGGGTAGAAATGGTTCTAAATTATGTTGTGTCAAGGGGAGTTGGTGGTCGCAGTGACAAACAAAGACATCGAGGTGTTGGTGGGGCTTCAGTATTGGTCGTGATGTTGGGCAGTGATGATTCCATGGACGAGGATGATTCTTCTAAATTTTTTCAAATTATAAAAATTTTGTTCATAGTTATTTTTTTTCTAAATTATAAATTTGTTGTGTATTCACAATGTTACTTGGATCATAGATCGTTTTGGTATGTAGTACGAGTACGGTTACGTAGTACGACAATTTCTTAAGTACGCGGTACAATGGGTGTAGACTTAACTGGAATGATGTTTTGGGTCACAATTCAGTTTGCAATGCTAATCTAGATTGTTTTCACTACTATGCATCATTGTATATCATAGAACATTCATAAACACTAAGTCAGGTACTATTTATTCTATATTTATGCTAGATTTTCTATTATCAAAAACAATATATAACTATAAATTTATATACACGTAGTCAATTAATATGTATTTTATATTTGTGTTATATGTTCCAAAGCAAATGATTTAGGGTTAGTATTACAATTTGGGGTTGTACATCTTGTTGATCTGGATCACTAACACACCCCATTTGGGATTGATGTACGCAGATCGTAAGTTGTCGGGGTTTAATGAATTCTAGTAACTATGATTCAAATAGTAAAACTTGGAATTTAGGAAATAGAGGGTGACAGTGCCATTAGTCTCCTCCATAAAGGTTCACAATGAAGGGATACCCCATGAGACAGCGACCCAAACTAAAACGGGTGCAAGTGTAATTTGAGAAACAAGAAGAGTATTGCAATAATTTCAGTGAACCTGAAGAAGTATAATTTTTTCTTAAAAATGCGTACTTATGATTCAAACACCACTACATCATCATTTCAAACGAACCAGCAAACACACCCTAGAATAAGAGCATCCACGATAATTATTCTATGTGAAATTCAAACCACTGGGTGATCTATGTATGACTTTCCCCCTTAACTCATGATCATGCAAGTGTCTTAAATAGATAATGTGCGCTTAATTATCTAGGTCTAACATATATCATAAGAATCTATTCCTCTTGAATCACACAAAAAATAGAATTTACTTCTTTGGATGTAAATTAACTAAACCAGTAGCATAGTAAATGCAAAACAAAATACACCACGTCACACAAGTTTTGATTTAAGGATAGAACCATTATCAGACAAGTTTCATTCAAAGGTAAAGATGATGACCGACATAAATGACGTGTCAACATAATGCAATTTTTTTTATCTCCAAAATGATTTAAGTTTTGAAATAGACATACATTTGTTATATCACTGTAGAAGAAAAAGCTTTATTCTTTCTTGAATTTGCACCTTAAAATACCATTATGAACAACACTATTCTCCATTCACTAGCAAAAATAAGAGAAATTTATAATTGTAATTTCTAAGAACCAAAGATTAACATACAAAGCTAGCAGAGAAAACTAAATGAAAATTGGTCAAAAACATGCATGTTTCAATAACATTTGATCTTACAAGTAGTTAAGAACATTATCAGTTATGTTATGCTTTATTTAGTTGAGGAGTATTTCTTTACTTGGTATAAATGTTTGTACTTATAGTTATGTTTATTCTAGTTTCTGGCTATTTGGTAGGTTTTTCTAGTGTGGTACTCTAACATAAGTTGTGACTCAAGTCTCCAACTATTGGCTATGAGATTTTGCTGAGATTAGAAGGGATTTCCCAAGAAGTTTTAGCTAATTTAAGGTTCGGAAGTGCTTGTTTGACAATTTTGGGTACTATTCAATGTCGCGCTACTATTGGGTTGTTGTTTAACTCAACACATAATTGGATCTGATTAGTTGCCTTTTTTGTGGTATCCCGTTGAACGGACATATGGGACGGTAGTGTGACTTCTACTAGTACTAAAGGAAATGTGTTAAGCCATCTAAGCAGGGTTCAAGGTTGTGGTATCGGTCATTGACTCGAAGAGCTCTTATACGCATTGGTCGCGGCATGGTATCGAGCAATACGACCTAAAAGAAAATGTTGAACATGACGAGAGATTCAAGTCATATGGAGGTGTTGTGGAACCGTATTGGCCGATTTGGTGACGATAACTCGGGGACTTGGAATTAATTCTGATACAACTTGGACAATTCGACTGAGTCGTGGAAGACTCGAAGTTTATATATATCGTATAACATCATTCAGAAGGTCGTATTGGTATCGACCGATACCTTGAACCATGCATCTAACCTCTCGCATATAATCCCTCTTTCAAAATTAGTTCAAAGAAGTTAGATGTAAACAATTAGTTAACATGGTTAGAGCTTGTTTGTTATTGGTCTAAGCTATTTTTTTGGATGGATATTTAATATAGAAGAATAAGATGCCTAGTAAATCTTGTTCTTCCCTAAAGCTTTCAAATGCCCTAGTTATGTATTGGTTGCTCAATTCAATGCAACCGACAATTAGTTGTGGTTTTTAGTTGCTTGATACAAATCATAAGATTTAGACTATTCATTATAGTGACCCAAATATACTCGATGAGGAGTAATGATGTCAAGGCTTATGTGCTTCAAAAGAAACTTCATGAGACCGACGAGAAGGATAATTCCCTTGTTGCCTAACGTGTAGAGTTTACCATCCTATTGTAGGAACTTGACTACTACAAGAATTTTCAAGTAGCTTGTACCAATGATGGATCTAACTTTTAGTAAAAAAAAGTAACCCAGTGCACGAGCTCTCACCACTACGGGGTTTGGGAAAAATCAGAAGTTCATAACCGTACCCCTACACACAAAGAAGTTGTTTCATGATTCGAACACTTGATGCCCATGTCATAATGGACCTTACCGCTCTGCCAATGTGCCTAAGACTTTTAGTAGATTGTGGAAAAGGAAATCGTTTGAGTTTTTTGGCATGTCTCAATATTGGGTATGATATATTCAAGTATAGATTTTCAATAGAAGGCCATTGTGCACCTTGCGAGAACTATGCATCTGTTCAGTAAGACGAATCCTATCGTTCATGCTATATCATTATTAACAATTTGTTTTGGTTATTTCTGAGTGCGATCTCAAATTATCTCTGTCCAAGTCTACTAATAAGAGCGGTATTGTCAATAATGATGTAGGAAAATGTGATATTTGTGAGTAGACTAGGCACACTAGAGAGTTTAGTTGGAAATTGAATGAGCGACCCACTAGTGGGCACAATGGTGGCAAAGGTGGTACTATATAATCCATATGTCAATGACTCTTACTCAGTCTAGCAGCAACACTTCTACTAATTTTTCTTAGAGATGCACACCCTAAGGCATCAGATTACTCAACTTGATATTTCCTCTACTACAACTTCTAATTTTGCTTGTTTTTTCAATTTTGCTCATACAAGTATATGTGCTAGAGTATTTAGTCTGACATCCTCACATACTCCTTGAATAGTAGGTTTTTGAGCTACTGCTCTTTCGATATTTTCTCCTCATTTTCTACATGTACTTATAGGAATAAAGTAAGAGTCACGGATAATGAGCTATATTTCTGGGAAAGGTGCCATTAATTGCTCTTCATCTATATCCCTCTTATCGTTCTTCATTTTCCTAATTTCTCTACTAATTTGTTGCCCATTAGTGATATTACGGACTCACGTTGTTTAGTAGGAACTAGAAACAGGGATAACACTTGGGAGTGGTAATGCACGTGGTGGTCTACAACGTTTTGACACTGAAGCTTTATCTAGTACAATAGGTCAGGCTCGTCAGAAATATAGGTCTTCTACTCTTCAACTTTTACGTAAACGGCAATGACATTTGGGACTTCAATCTTTTGGTGTCGAAGAAATTTTTTTTATGGTATTGTTAAATAGTGTGGTAGGAACATTTTTATTTGTGACGATTGTGAATTTGTCAAGCTTAGGCATTCATCTTGTTAATAACATTGTTCTTTCTATGATTATTCATCCTAAAATGGGGCGCCTTCTTCTATTGTGTCTATTTCTAATTATCATTGGGTTATCACTTTTATTGATTATTATTTCCTCTTTGGTTTACTTCGTATTAAGAGTGATATTTTTCCTTGCTTAAAAAATTCTCATAAATGGTGAGTACCATGTTTGTTTCTAAATTTAAGATTTTTCAGAGTGGTAATGAGACTGAATACATTCATGAAGAATTTTGTGCCTGTCTCACTTGTGTGAGTATCCCTGAACATGGTGTTGCCAAGCAAAAAAATTGTCAGCTACTCAAGATTGCTTGTTCTGTGATGTTTATTATGAGTGTCGATAAATCATGTGGGGGAGACACAGTTCTAATTGTTGTTTAATTAATTTCTTACCCCCAAAAGTTCTTCACTTTAAGTCACCTCTTGATATTACATTAGAGACTTCATCTATTCCTTTTGTATCTTCCTTTCCTTCTAAAATTTTTGGTTATATCTATTTTGTGTATGATTTCAGATCTTCCAAGGGGAAACTTGAACTCATGGCTTTGCAATGTGTTTTCATTGGTTATTTTGATACACCAACAGGCTAAAAAATGTTAATCCACAGCCTCAAAAGGTGATGTTAGCATGTGTGTAACCTTTCACGAATGTGACTCCTTTCTTGCTTCTGAGTCATCTCTTTGGGGCAGAACATTGAGAAAGATATGTCCTGTCAAAAGCCCGTTTTTTCATTGCCTATTCAGTGGGGTACTAACTGTAGTGAGGGAGAGCAGCTAGGGTAATTAAGGAAAAAAGGAATACTGGTGATCACCTAGGGATGATCTGAAGCCTTATTATCGACGCCAAAAAATTCAGTTTATCCATGTGCCACTGAGCAAATTGCATTGTACTTCAAAATTAAGCACCGTGAACATGTTTCAACAACTGCATGAACAAAAAATGTGCTACATAGTTTCAATCAGTAGTAGAATGAGTTTAGATTGTACTTCGTTTGACTTCAATTTTTCTTCAATTTGGTATGGTATTTGAGACAAAGCTATTATTAGCTTTAGTAATATCTCCTAAAATCTTCATAGTCAAAAACTCTATTCCAATGTATGAATTCCTAAATTAGAGCTTGCAATACATATCAAGTTCAAAATTATGTGAAATTTAGACAGCTGTATAACAAACTCACTTCTGACATTACACTTCCTAGATTGGGGGGAAAAAACAAAAGGTTTTACCTGCGTCTGCAACCACTTAGCAACTTGCAATGACCGCATGCCATGGTGACACTGCATTACAAACGATCATGTTAGTACTCTTGGAAAAAAGTCGACAGAAAAAATAGTAAGGACTAGTAAACATAAATGAAGAACGATCGTGCAGAAAGATTATGGAGACAAAAGGGAGGATTAGTATAATCTGATCTAGAAAGTTGATTACTTTTATACAAATTGTGTGATCAGAAATAAGAAGAAAGAAGGTTAGAACTTATGGTGTAAAAAAGAACAATACTTATCACAAAAACGAAAAGATAAATTAAATGCTGATAAGGACCCATCAAAATGACCAAATAGTTTACAAGCAGCTATAAGAGCTTCTTGACAGATTAATCTGCACTACAAAGTTTTCATCAAATATTTCAAAACAAAACTAAAACAGAATGGAAGTACTATAGTGGAAATGCACAAACTCACCTACACAATGACCTGTCGACTTGGGGTGGCTTATAGGTACTTGTTTTAAAAGCAACAAGCTAAGTAGCACAAATCAGGGGGGGGAACCTATGGGAAACCAAAGCCGTTCAGGACCAACTCCTTTATTCAAAAACTCTGTTTTTCTTCAGACAACCAGATCTTATGGACATAGTGACTCGACAAACTCAGAAAAGAGAAACCAGATGAATGAAGGCATATTTTCTGTAAAGTGAAGATAAGGAAGAATGAAGGAATATTTAAGAAAAAACCAAAGAATTGAGGCTACACTCTCAAAATTGGTAAAACATACTTAAAGCGAGAGTAATGCTAGACAAAAAAAATTTCCAATAAAAAAGAAGTAATTTGGATCCTAGTATTTCTAGCAATGTGCAATGCCACAGCCACAACTTTCTGGATGAGAATTCTATAAACTTCTTTTTGTCCAACATTTTTTTAAAATTTATTAGAAGTACCCATACGAACAATGCATAACTCCCACCCCCCACCCCGCGTGGCCAAAAAGAAGAATGCAACACATAACAAATAGCAACATTTCACTAGAGGCTTTCCACTTGTAAAATGTAATCAGTAAAGAGGAAAAAAAGTACTAATGGAGTATACTTTAGTTTTCTATATGTTAATGCCTCCAGCAGGGATGCTCATTCAGGGGCTCACATGTACGACTACTTTATGAGGTGTTGTTTGTTCAGTCACCTCATTGCAAATGTAAGAATAGAAATAGCAACATTTCACTAGAGGCTTTCCACTGGTAAAATGTACTCAGGGAAAAAAAAAAGTACTTACGGAGTATACTTTAGTTTTCTATTTGTTAAAGTTTTCTATATGTTAAAAAGAGAAAAAAAATTAAAATGTAGATTTCAGCTCTCTTCAATAACAAAAAAGGGCAGCCTTTCTAGATAGTCAAGGATGCATGTACACACCAGGATATAAGTATCCTTTTGAGGATCAAACTTGGTCATAATTTCTGGTCCCCAGCTTCCAAACTGACGTAGAGGAAGAACCTGAAAATTGGGCAAAGAAGCTTGCGCCCTGTTGCACAAGAAAAGAAGTCAGAGAAATGACAACATGCAAAACATATAACTAGCAAGTAAAAAACCAGATGACCAAACAAATGATGTCTCATACTCAGGAAAAGACAAAAGAAGAAACAGAAAAAAGAAATGGAAAAAAGGGGCAGCACCAACTCCTCCTCTTTCTAGAAAAAGAATAGGGCAGCACCATCTAGCTCCTCTCCTTTGGCAGGAATGTGCTTAAGCATTACCCTAGTTTTGAAATGGTAAACATCTTTAATATGTCAATTCTTTCATTTTGCAAAAGTAAACCATAATTACAAGACTTAGTCAGCAATTATCCGCAAGTTTTCTTTCACAGTAACCCGTCTTTGTTAAGTATAAGGGAAAATTACAGTGACACCCCTTTGGAAGGTGATAATAGCAGGGGATAGATGATTAGTCATGAAAAGTGTAATATTTTGGTACATTGGTATTAATGATTTACATTGATTTCTTGTTAATCATGCTAATTATAATATCATTATATATTTTATGCTCGTTGGATTTTTATTGATATTTTACAGGTAAATGACATAAAATTGCGGGTATTGAACGAGCATTGAAATTGTGTGCATGACAAGGAATGGATTGAATGATTGATCTAGGAGTTAATAGCAGAAAAAGGAAGTTCAGAGAGTGGTAAATGATTGATCCAAAACTGGAAGGGGTCGATCCACAAGGAGCATAAAGATTTGTCAGAGACTTTGGAGGGATCGATCCCATAAAGTGGGGATCGATCCAAATTTGTTGAAATGTAGGGATCGATCCCTACTTTATGGAATTGATCCAAATTTCCCATTAGGCAAAATCCCTTTATCTCATTATCTCATGAGCCAAAGTTCCATTATCTCGTGATCCCATAAGCCATTATCTCATGATCCTTGTTGTCCTTAGAATTAGACAGCAAACTTTAAGAGATCAATCCATACTCTTTGTGGATTGATCCAAGTGAAGAATTTCAACCAGTTTGTTTTAGAGTCTTACTTCCTTTTTACTTGTGCCAACACTACTTTATTATAAATACACCCATATGCTTTTGAGAGGGGATCCACTATTTTTCCAACCTAGCAACCTTTTGACCTATTTCCTTCTTCATCACAATTCTTGAAGATCTAGCTATGAATTGTGAGTAGTCTTTTTGTACTTTGTAGTTAGGGTTGGTGGATCTGTAATTATTTATTTGGTTCTTTATACTTATGCCGTTTTTATTTTGATCTCAATGTTAATTTTTTTATTTATTCAATTGATTGATATTCATGGTACAATTATTTAATTATTCATCAACAAGATTGATATTCTTGATATGAATATTGTTTATAATTCTCTGCAAGTATTTTAATTAGTTCTTCAAAATTTATTTTCAAGTCAATCAAATTAATTATTTGTTCATCAAAATATTTTCCAGTTGACTACACTGACGTTAGAAATCAACTGAGATAATTAATATTACATAAATATAACTTTTCGATAAATGTGAACAGATCCGAATCTCGAAACTAGGAAGTCATTTTTCAAATTATTATTAATTATACTTTTGAGAATTGCTTTCCAATTAATCATATTTTTTTTAAAAAAAAAAAGTCTTGTTTTTTGTTACACTTTGTTCAATTTACCCATTCCCTGATGATTGACCTTGAACTATACCAAGTTATTATCACAGCTTGGCCACCTGCACTTGGGTGTACCACATTTGGATTCAAGCAATAGACTCATGGTTTCTAATATTACACTACATCCCTTTTGGTTTGAGTTTGTATTTCATAGAGTACCACTTCATTAATCAACCGTTTGGATCAACATGTCTACTTGTTGAGCATCTCGAGTTACTTGTGTTTCCTAAACCAGAATTCCTCCACCTAAATCAACCCAGTTGATTCATGAGTTAACCCACTGAAACTTGACCCAAGCCCACCTCCACCATCAATCCAACCACCAAGACACAGGCACAACTCATATCTCCTTAAAATTTGACCTTTCTAAGTATCAAAAAATCCTTCACCAGCGAAAGATTTAATATGAATTCCATTTTTCTACTCAATTCTCCTCGAAGGTAATTCTTTCTTGGTTTTCACCACAAGCATTACAAAGGGTTTTCTAGAATCTTATATAACCAAGTGTCTCCCCAAATTTACCACAATGCTTTGCCTGTTATTCTCAAAGTCATACATATTGTGTTTGTCATTACCCTAAGGCAAATTACAAAGCGCAAATAAAAAATAATTTTAAATAATAGAAAATTAGAAATAATTCTCAGTTTCAAGAGAATCAAAGCTAGAGAATTTGACGTCATTGAGTTGAAAAGTTATGATAGTTTAGAGTCTTTAGTATAATTCATTATCATATTGGGCTAGGATCGCACTTTCTAGAAAGTATAATTACTTAGCCTTATAGCAACAATAGTTGTCATTGGGTAATGGGTAGTCAATTGTTGTCACTCAAGTGGTTGCTAAAGTAAGATGATTTAAATAACCTTCAGTTTTTAAAGATGATGTTTAAGATTAGCTAAAAGAAGCTTGGGCAGATGAAGTGGTGTATTCTGGGTTTTAGTCACCTATTATGTTTTATAACACCATTTGCCGTTCACCAGATATAGAATTTACTACTATATTTCTTTTTGTTGCCATTAGTGGCTTGTACCAATAATAGTCCCGGGCAGGGGCGGAGCCAGGAATTGGTTTAAGGGTGGGCACAACCTATATTTTAAATATATTAATAAAATGGTATATATCACAAATCTAATTTTGATAAAAATTTAAACTACTTACACGAAAATCAAAGCCTAAGGTCAAAATAATTTCTAAGATGAAAAGGAAAAAAGTCATTATCAAACAATACTATTTTTTACCAAATAGATATATTAAAGTTAACGGATAATTATACTTGATTCACAAAAAAATTCAAAGTAGATCAAGCTCTATTTAAGGTGTCTAAATATAATCTCACATAATTAGCTTTCTTGAATTGATAGCTAAATTATTTTTAAATTTAGAATAGGTTTGTCTCGAGTAGCCCTGACTTTTAACTTTTTTTCCTCTCAATTTATAAACGTAAAGTGATACATTTATATTAATTACGTCATATTTCGTAATAAAAACTCATTAAATTGAAAAGAGTCAAAAGTTGATGCATATATTATATAAGAACAAAATAAAATCAATTACAACTCTTATCGAAATGTGAGGCTTATTACATCTATTTATAATTGATGGTGACGAGTTTTCATATTTTATATTAAAATCGCAAAGCTATCAAAAAAAAATTAAGAAATAAGCGTAATAATACAACTGCAATCCAATGGAAACAAATCAATCGTCAGTTGTAGAAAAATAGAGATCAATTGTAGGTCAATTGAAAGTAATTTCACCTTAAAATTTTGAATTTAAAACCAAACAATACACAAATTTTTAAAATAAGATAAATTTTAAGGTGGGCACAACAAATAATATTTAAAAAATAACTAATATATATATGTGTGTGTGTGTGTATAATTAAGGAAAAAAAATTGAGGGTGGGCAAGTGCCCCCCGGCCCCTACTTACCTCCGCCCTTGGTCCTGGGGTAGAGAAGGGAACATCCAAAGCAGGCAAATAATTTGGATTCCTAAAAAAGGAGGTGTGGTAACCTATAATCATTTTTAAGTGAACAAGGTTTCTCGGTTTTATGTCTATTCAACGGGCAGTAGTGTGTCCTAATAGGTACTTCACTAACGGGAGAGGCCATATTCCTAACATTTTCAGACTTTCCTCCATCAACAGTACTCAAACCCCCAAGTTATCAGATGTTGTGACCAAAAAATAGTGGAACATAATCATCAGAATAAATAAGATAGACATTTTAGAAGCATACTAGGTAACTTATAAAATTCAAAAAGCAGAAAACCATCTGAAAGTTTCCCTGCCCAGTTATTTAGTCAGAGGGAAACAGAGCATACACTTCTTCTGGTTCTCGAACATCAATCAGTTGAGCCTCCCCAATAAACAAGGGGTCTTGCATTTTCGCATGAAGCTCATCAGGCTGTATATCTTGCAGTGTGGATTCTTCCCTGGACATAAGAGACTCATGAAGTAAGAGTCAGCACCTGCACTTCTAAGGTAATTCAGTTCATTATACTTTTGGAATTACCTCTCAGAGAGAACTTGCAATAAATGCCATCCAAATTTAGTTTTACACCTTACAACTTTGTTTACTGGTGCATTAAATGCAGCCTCCTCAAACTCTGGTACCTAAGCCATTTCACCATGAAGGATCCATTACTCGCAAGGAAAAGTAGAGTAACTACTTCATAATGCTCAGTAGAAAATTGTAAAATACCTAATAAACCAAACAGGAATAACAAGAGTTTGGTGCAGATAATGCCTAGAAAGCATTTTGTGCTGTTAGTGAGTAATATTACTTTTGAAGGTGGGGACTTGTTCTATAAATAATTGGGAGAGTTTTACCTTAATGAGAGTTGAATTTTGCTTTATTCCCTGTAGAGTTGTGTTTCTTGACCTGAGGATTTGTGTGTTTCTTATTAGTTTCATTGCTTTAAGGTTCCACAAACTTAATACTGAAAAGGCATATGATCTTGTCAATTGGGACTTTCTCATCTATCCTCCAGAGAGAATAAGGTTTGAAGTTTTGCAAAGGCAATGGATAGATGTGTCAAAATATGACACGACCCGTTAACACGACACGAAATTAAAAAGTTTGGACCTTTCCTAAACCACCCGTTTCGTAAATGAGTGATCCCGACACGACACGATTAATAAACGAATCGGGTTTGGGTGAGTCAATCAAAAGAAATACGCAACATAACTCGTGTATATACCTGTTATACACAATTCGTATACGACAATAACCCAATATAACACAATTCGTTAAAAATGAATCGGGTATGGGTGGAGTACTTTTTTACACGAACCCATTAAGACCTGATAATATGAACCCGCCTCACCCGATACAGTTGACAGGCCTAACGATGGATCATGAACCAGCCCCCCCCCCCCCCCCAAACTTCTACTTCAAACAGCAAGAGCAACATATTGAGTATTATGTGAGCAACATACCATTTGCCCCTTTCTCACCCAGCCAAGCATTCCCCCCTCTTCTTTTGATGGACAAATTGAGTATTCCACTGCCAAGTCACTTAGATCCTCTCCTGAATGTAACAAGGTGTAGCATTACAAAGATTAATCTTTGAGGACAAGCAACGAGAGAACATCGATCTTCCAAATGTTACACCTATGATCATATATTCAAAGGTATCGTAATTTTCAGATTTGCCCCCTTTTATGGATCTGAAGTAATAAGAAGCCTTTACTGAGGTACTGAAAGTGTACAAAAACCAACCTTCTGAGATTCGTTTTTGCAGCTCCAATATAAGCTTTGGGTCATCTTCTTTAACTAGCAAATGTTGTACCAATATTTCTCTACCACCTCCAGTGCTGCTCCCAGTACTGAATGAAGCTGAAAAAATATATTTTTTGGGGTGCACAACAAAATGAGAAACCAAAAAAAAAGAATAATCCCAAAGGAAAAAAAGGACGATAAATGAATCTTTTATTGATCATGAGCATAATGAGAAACCAATTGAATAATGGCATTCATTGAGAAACTCTCATGGTCGAGGCATGAGGATCCAGAGTTCAAGTTATAGCGCCAAAGGAATTGATTATTATGCGGTAAATTCTTTTTTATTTACAACAATGGATGACTAATAAGTAATAACCAAGGATCAAAATCTTGTTCCAATGCATTGTTTAGGTCAACTCGACAATAAAAATGTTTCAAAAATAATTCATAAATATATCGAAAATATAATAGAGATAAAGAAAAATCTTTTCCGAAACAATACTCGCAACATGTTGAAACATCTCAAAACACCTTGAAACATTGGAACTTTGATATTCAATCACTGATTCATTCAATGAAAACACAAACATTTTGATAGAAAAGAAATGACATTTTGGACGTTAAAAACACATGCTTTAATACCAGATGTTCCACAATTTTTGTAAGCAAATTATTTGACACCAAAAATCATAATTAAATTATATATATGCTCTAAATCTAAAGTAAGTATCAATAGGAAACACACAATTTCATCAAACAAGCCTTAATACCAATGACCTATGTTAGTCACAAGGATCTTTCTTGATGTCAATAGGTAAAACTTTTTATAACTACCCATCGTGTCATACTTTAGGACAATATCTAAAAGTTAAATGAAAAAAATATATATAAATTTGGTAAAATACCATTTAAAAGTGTAACCGAATATGAAATTGGTGGTCAACTTTGGAAATTGAGATGCGATTTATGGGATGCTCACATTATTCATTCAAGATGGTAACCTATAACCAACTACTTTGATATATAATATTATAATTGGTGGATCTAGCTCATTTTTTTTTATAAAAGAAGAAATTTTTTAAGTTTGAGAAGAGATAACAAATTATAATATGGAGGACAAGATATCCTCACAACGAAAAAAAACCAAAAAGAGAAAAAAAACATTAAGCCAAAACACCTTCCAATTCCTTTGAAGATCCGATAAAGGTAAACCACTAAAACTCCCTACAGATATGGGGTACGGAATCTACTCTTGAACGATGAAGTAGGCAATACATAAGCAAAAATAGAACTTAGTGCGCTTCTCGGGTATCTGTCTAGTTCATGTGGGCACTAGGTCATAACAATCTCCAGCACACCATAGTGTACTGTAGTTGTCATTCTAGACAATCCGACATAATTCAAAGCTATATTGGTTCTTAAATGTTTACAATCTAAGGAGCCATATCATGATGGTATGAGCCGGTTTTCAATACCACTTATAAGAACAAATAAATTTAGAATTGCAAGTCAACGTAACCATACCACCCCTACCATCCCACAAGAAAAACAAACAAACAAAAAAAGTAGTAAAAGAGAAATCAAAGAGAACAAACCATTACATAAATTATGTAAGCTCCGTTAAAAAAGCTAACACAAAAACATTAGAGATAAAACAAACTAAAAGTTACCTTTGAGAAATATTATGTACGGACTAAAGGGTGAAAATGGGACAAAAGATTAACCATCTCTTAATAAAATTATGCTAGTTTGAGTCAGACACCGCACGGAATTGATTACAGTAAAAACACCATTCCTACAAAGAAAACTTACAGAATTATTACAATCTTCCACTTTTTTTTTTTTGTTCCAAATAATAACAGATGTGAGAAAAAGAAAACATAAGCACATACTCAATTAATCAACGTTATTCCCTACCACAGGATAATCATTTCTATAAATTAACCTTTTTTTCCCATTCTTATGTTCGATGTATATCTACCCAATTCCAGCAAAACGAAACGGAAAAAATCAACTAGGTAGAAATGATTTATTCCATTTGATGTGGGCTTTGTTGACCTTGTAGCAAAAAAAAGAAAAGAAAAACAAACGGTAGTATCACCGGGAATGATTATTTCTTCACCAAGCCACGAGTGCCACAACCACCACCGTGGATAGAAACAATGCTCCACAAGGAAATGACAGTGTCATCAGCCGTCACAATTACAACCTCTAATTGCTCCTTACTTTATTGATCTTCTCTGTTCAGCAACCTTTCCCTGGGTGGCTGGGTCTACCCCTTTATATTTACATGTTATGGCAGAACAAAGATTTAAAAAGAAAAAACATAACCTCACCTTTCTCTTTCTCCTTTCTTTATAATTCTTTTGGCTCTTGAACTATACAGAGAACAATGTGTTTACAATAATTTTTTAAAAAAAAAAGACCAAATAACTGTATTTTTGAGTTGCATCGAGATCATTAGAACTCTCTTATTGTTAAATCACTACCATAATGCCATTTGTGCTAGTTCTTATACTGGAACCCTCGTTTCCACTACTATTTCTACTTTCACACAAATAGAACTATAAATGAAACTGTCACTGTAATTGTCACTCCCACTTACAATGTAAGTATGTATCAACACTAATTGTTGTAGTTACTCCAATGGAAAACAAAAGTGCAATGCAAAAATAAAAATTCAGTTGATGGTCAAAGAGGTGTAGGAACAGATAACCTACAATAGAACACAAAACCAATTGGCAATTGGTACTACTTAAACAAACCATCCACAAGCATCTTGTAATAAACTGACACACCAAAATAACACTCAAAAGCTTCACTGACTTGATATTCAAAAAGAATACTTTTCTTTGGTTGCCAAGAAAACAACGAAAATTAAAAAGTTCCTTCACGCCAAACAAAAAAGGAAAATGATGGGTTTTACAAGAAATACTAACCTGTGCCTTTGGGACAAGGATGACCCACCATGGGCGAGACCCACTTCAGGTTGAAGGAATGAAGTTGTGGAGAATTGGGTAGGAGGGTTTTGGGATTAAGTGTCTGTGACGGAGCAAAAACAGAGAGTCTACGAAGGGTTGAAGAAGGTGATGGTGATGAAAGCTTAAGAGTTGGAAAGAGAGAGAGTCTAAGAACGTGGAGTGCTGGAGCTGCTATAGGTGGCAGATGAGAAGCCCTTGACATTATTGATTTCCAAGTCGGTTTTAGGGTTCAGTTTTGGGTCCAGAGAGAGAGAAAGAAAGAAACCATCCGTTACAAAGCTTGTCTGAATGCGCGGGTCTACCAGAAAATGTTCCTCCCGTTCTTGGACCTCGGAAGAACAAACAATGTAACCGCAACCAACACTTGTCAATGTAACCCGTGCTTAATATGAATTAATTTTCAATGTTACCTTGTTTTTGCAATTGTTTTACACAATACCGCAATTTCAAATTTATTTATTAAATTATTAATTTATCTACGTATATTGAAAACATGACTTTAATATACCCAAACTGCTTTGTAAGTATATATTTGAATAAAACTGTTTGACAAATTCAATATTTAAAAATTATTATGGTTCTTAATCTATCATCTCATTGTGATACCTTATTCTTACCAAAATTATCACTATCATTTCATAATCTAGCGATAGAAAAGAATTTTGAAATACTCTTGTTGTTTTGACTTTATTAGTACACCTTTGTCACCGTTGCTTTGACGTCCCCCCACAGCTAGCATACACCCGTCATTGTTATTACTACCATCAATAGAGGTGTCAAACGTGTTGAGTTGGGTCATTTTGTATCAGGTTAATTTCGAGTTTGTGTCAAAAATTTTAAAACACAAACTTAACATGTTTAATAATCATGTCGAGATGTGTAAACATTAATCTGACCTGGTTATTAAACGAGTTATCCAAATCTGACTTGTTTGGCATGTTTAATAAATAAGTTATTTTCGAGTTAACACACATATCTGTTTCTACACCTGTTCATTACTATTAATACATCATTTAATCATTCATCTAAAATTTCAAATATTTTTTTAATTAATAACATATAACATCTCATCAATAAAATTAACTAAAATACATTAAAATTTCAACCAAAAAATTAAAGCAAGAACAATACTTTTATAATGTCATGATAATATTAAGAATTATACTGTCAATTATTATAATAGAAGTAATAACTAATAAGTAATAATGTTAAGACTACATCAGTCAAACATAATAAGCAAATTATACTACCATAAACAGGTTAAACGGGTCTACAATAGATTAAGTCGGGTTCGTGTCTGAATCATGTCAACCCCGTTTAAATATATACGGGTTCATCAGGTTGACTTAATTTTGACATGAACCCGACATGATTTTTTTCATGTGTTAAACGTGTTGATCCGTTTTTACCCATTGTCCCATTTAATTTCATGTGTGACCCATTAATTTCATATTTGATTCATGTTGTGTTAATGTGTTGTATCAAAATTTGGCACCTCTAGTCACCACCCTCACCAATACTTTCTCTAACCATCACACCCTTGTAGTACGAGGTTATGGTAGAGTGGAAATACCAACAATGGGTGATGGTGGTGTGTGATGGTGGCAATATGAATAATGAGTGGTGGAAGATATAGTTGGGGGGGAGGATGTGAACGGTGGTGGTGACAATAATAACTAGTAGTGGTAGTAGGAGTGACAATAACAATGTGGGTAGTGATAATAATATCGGTGGTGGTGGCGACAGCAAGTTGATATGATGGAGAGGTAGTTTTATGATTATGGTGATGGCAATGGGCGTATAGGTAGTGGTGGTAAGGTGGCAATAATAGTGATGGTGGTAGTACAGTTGATAATGGTAATAGTGGCAATGTCGGTAACTGTGGCGATGCGGGTGGTGGCAACAATGAGAATAGTGGCTACAAGGGTGGTAATAGTGATAGTAGTGGTGGTGGATATGATGGAGTGATGATCATATAGGGGGGAAAGGGGTAGCATGTTGACAGTGATTGTGGTAGCAATGGTGGTAGTGGCTACAGTGGTGGCAACAATCAGGATAACAGAATAGCAGTAGTAACAATGGTAGTGTCAGTAATGGTTAGGGATAACTCGTGCCTGAAGTCACGATATAATGTGAATAGTATTGAAAGAGATGTTAGTGACCGTTGGATGAGTCTATTTGAAACTATCAAATAGACTTATTGAAGTATGTCATATTTTATATTACAAAAATCTCTCTATTAGGAGTTCTCAACCCTAATTAGAGACTTCTCAAGACTTCTAATACAACTTGGATCAAAATTTACTTGCTGAGACGGGGATAAAGATTAAAAATTTACCCATTAACGGGGTGGACTAAAGATAAACGAACTTTTTTTAAGCTAGTACGGGGGTGGAGACTATTCTCCCCCCCCTCCCAGCCGCCCACATCTGCACCTCAATCTACTATCATTCCTGATGATGGCGACAAGCCATTTGTAACCAATGTCTTCTTTCCACGAAGGAAGTGAGACGAGATTCCAAGTAGTGATGGTGGTGGTTGTATTTTTTTGTTGTGTGTGTGTGGGGGGGGGGGGGAAGGGAGGGGACAAAGGTGAGTGGTGGTAATTAGGCCTGATAATCGTGACAAGTGGAACGGTTTTGTATAAGGTGGAATGAATTTGTGTGAAAAAAAAATCCTTCATCCATATCCCATTCGTTTATATAAACGAGTTCAATTATCACATTTATACACTAATCGTTTATTAGATGAATTATCCGATATAATCCTTGTGTCACCCGCTAAATAAAAGAATACGTTAGAGTATTTCGAGTCCATACAAAAAACCATTAACTTGCCACAGATTACAAATGTTTAACCTGCTTATTATAACAATAAACCATAGCTGAGCAAAAAAATAAGGACAAAAAATAAAACATTAAATTTGAACGAGTCCAGAGATGAGAGGTGTGAGATGAGATAGAGATTGAGAGACCTAACTTTTCTAAAAAAAAATTTATAGTACCACAGTTAACGAGTTAAACAGGTTGATGGGTTAAACACGAAACCGATTTGTTTATTTTACAGGTCTGTTGAATTAATCTGTTAATTATTTGAACCCGTTAAGACTATACCCAAAATTACTAATTCCATGTCATGTTCGTATTGGTTTCACAAGTCATGTCTAAAATTGTGAGACCTAGTGGTAATGATTGCAGGATGATAGTAGTGGAGGTGGTGACATTAGTAGTGGTGGTGATGCACCAATGATGGGATGATGAATGTTGAAAAGTTAGAATAGAAAATTAGAGGGTAAACTTATCCATTATGAAAAATTTATAAATTTTTTATAAATTAGCATTTTAAACTTTTATAAATGAATGTAGTTTTTTTTTTTTTAAAAAAAAAAGGATAAGTAAGTAGCTTGCTATTTACAAATTTTAACCTATTTTAAGAGGTGCTCAAAATTTTAACTGGTGTGAATTTTTTTATCACACACTTAATTGAAAAAATGCAGAATGTGTTTAGTTTTAAGTCTTCAAACACCACCTAATTTTGGTTTAAGCCATATTATTTAGCAATATTCATTTTGGTTTTCTTTGTTGCTTTTTTTTTTAAATGTTCTTGTTCAATTTTTTGCCTTAGGATGCTTAATTCATGACAAAAGGCTAAATAATCAGTAGCGAACTTTTTTCGAAATGCTTTGTACTATTTTGAAATTTGGAGAGAGAATACAGCACATATAGGAGAATAGTTATTGTTTGTACATAAAGGAACAAAGTAATAACAAATTATAAAAAATGAATATATTTGTATTCAAATCTAAAATTAAATTGCAAACATAGAGAAGAGATAAATGAATTTAAACATCGATTTGTAGTGGGGGTGAAAGATAGTGGGCGATAGTGGTGGTGGTAGCAGACAGTAATAGTTGTGGTGGTGGTGGCGGCGGCGACGACGACGATGTTGGTGGTGGTGGCGGCAGCAGCGGCGATGTTGGTGGTGGTGGTGGTGGTGGGGTGGCGGTGGCAGCGACAATGGTGGTGGCGGTGGCAGCGACAACGATAGTGGCGGTGGCAGTGACAACAGTGGTGGTGATAGTGGCAGCAGTGGAGATGGTGGCGGCGGCGGCGATGGTAGTGGAGCGGTTCAAAACAATATATATTTTTTTAAATACTTATAAGAAATAATTTTTAGAAATACTTTTAAAAAATTATTCCAAACACACCCTAAGGGCCCTATTTTTTCCTATTAAATTTAGAATTTTAATATTAGTCGTTAGATTAATTTTAAAGTAAAATTTAAAACAATTTCAACCGCGAATAACAAAAGTCATTTTGTTTATCTTTTAAAATTTGAATTGTAAGATATTTTATTATATAGGAGAATTGTGTATAACACGATTTTACGCACAAGGGGATTTAATTGGTATTTTCGTATTCATCATTGATTGCATTTCTAAAACTTTAAGTTTGACATTTAAATTCACTCTTTGAAAACTTGACTCTTTCGCCTGTGTGCAAATCACAAGTGAATTTAAACCATTTTGAATCTTAGACATGATGATGATGAGAGGGTCAGTATACTCTCTCTCTACCAATTTACATAAACTCAACTGTCATTTAATGACTTAACATCATATATCTGCCTAAATGCTTTGGTATTTCGCCAGTGTTCGAAAACATCTTTTCCACATATACGGATGTAAAATTATGTACATCTAACATTTTTTAGACCTTGCAATTGTGAAAACTTTGTGCGGACTTGCATTCTTATTTTGTATTGTGCATGACATCTAAAGACGAAAGATCAAATCAGGCAAACAAAACCATTTTATTCATTGCATTGCAAATAAAGATTATGATTTATAAATAATTGATGTTACAATTACAACAGTCACTTCTTCTTCCTGTTACCCCCTCCCCCTTCTCCCTCTTTCCCCCTACTGGGTGAGATCCTCTTCCGCCAAACAATTTTTTTTTTTTTTTGTGTTTTTGGGTGAGATCTCTTTTATGAAGTACCAAACCACCCGGACTGCACCATCAAGAGCATCAATCAATAATGGAGATGACAAAAAATGATGATGATCACGATCATGATCATGGTTCATTTGAGTAATGACCGGGAGTCACTTATGACCCGATGATGGTCTCCAAGTATAAATAACCATGCCTATGACAAGGATGATGGCACCTGCTACAAACCCGGGTGGCAGGGAAGATGCAACACCAAGGTACGGTAGTGGCAGCGTGAATAAAAACACAGATATCGGCACTGCAGAGGAGAGAGCCCAAAATGACAACAATCAATCAGTAGTAACAAAGCATCTAACTAATTAGAGAGAGAAAATTTGAAGGAAAAATGATCTAATTCCAATAGTCCTATAGTTTGATGAGACTAATATAAACCGGACACCTTGGCAATTTTGTTCATGCTTGATACAAAAAACTTTGAATATCATTGCTCTACCATGGCTTTTCAGTATTTCATTGGATCCAAATGGAAGTTTTGACTGGTTGATGTGCATGTGAATTTTGAATTCTCCTTTGTAAGTATGACAGATTTTTTTATGCTGATGACGAAGAACCTCTCCAAGGTTATCCCTACCGATTAAATCCCGGATACTTACAATCACCCACTAATCACATGTATCCGCTAAACACGGGAATCAAGGGCGAGAGTCCAACACAAGACGTTCAAGTTTACAGTCCATCACATGGTCAATCTCACACCCTTGGAATACTCGTGCAGGTTAATATCACAGATTTCTGTACATTCAATGACCAAATTGACTGTAATTTCAATAGGCTGGGCGTGCCAATATGCGAGGGCTCACAAACCAGATGACTGACTCCACCACCAAATATAGGCAAATCTTATTGCAACCCAACACTAAAGTTTCTGTCTGATTTCCAATCTTTCCTAGTCATTTGAAAAAAAAACCTAGAATGCTTGTACCTCTTAATTGACCATACACTTGTGGATTGTTTTTGGGACAGTATCAGTTCAATTAACGTTTAGGTAGTGTGTGCAAGTGTGTTGATTTGAAGTTGATGTCATATTTAACTGAGTTTGGGTTATGCACGTACGGGACTTGAAACAAATCAATTCACGCTTAGCGCTCTAGACCACCAACCTGGCCTCAAAGGAGCCCTTGCATGCAACACAATGCTTCTCGACACACAAATGACAAGCTAGTTATTTGGCTTAGCGGAGCTCCACCACAGCCAGTGAGCTGAAATCATTGATTCACCCTCTGGGGCTGTAACGACTCATTGATAATTATATGGAAATTAGTTTGATAGAACGAATATGTACCTGAAAATGTGGATGCAAGGCAAGATACCACAGCAGAAGAGATCTTCAGCAGATGCAGCAATGATATGTTGAAACCCATGTTGACAATAACAAAGAGCAGCGGCAGTAGCGGTGCACCGTCACATCCTGTGGCCAGCCAAATACCAAAGACAAGAAGAATTCAGTTTTCCTGCTACCCTTTACAGAGTGCAGTGTCGTTACAGCAAAAATGCCACTAGAGCAGAACAGAATGGTAAAATCTGGAGGCAAAGCCAAACCAATCCCTATTATTCATCACCCCTGAGTTCATAGTAGTTGAATATACAATTTGAACTAATTTGAAGCATAAAATTTTGATTACCAACTTATATTTTACAATTGCCGATAGACTCTTTCTTTTAATTTCACAAAACAAAAATTTAACAACTTCAGCAGCATAACTTCACAATTAGATGGAATCCAATTAAGTAAAAGAGTGAGACTAATAAATATATGGAATGGGAAATTTGTTAGACTGGTTTAGAGAACTCTGTTTCAACAATGATATGGAATGGCCACGGGCACTGCTGGTCTAGTCCTGGCACAGCAACACTCCCCAATTTTAGTGCTGTTTCATTGCGATTTTTTACCTTCAACTTGTAGGCCTCAATGGCAGATCTTCACAAGTTTTCCACTCAGATAATTCCCAGAATTTTAAATTTTTTTCAATGTAAACAAGATGAAAATTTTGAAGTCATCAATCATTGACGATCAGCAAACTACCAAATTACAAGTGTCTTATCAAAAATAAATCCTTAATGAGTATATGCTTGTGCTCTTCAATCTGCTGCAAATTGAAGCTTCCACTACTATTCTTGTATATAAATGCTCCAAAGCGGCTTTTCCCCCCTCTTAGGAAAGGGGGTCTGGTTTATCATGTTAGTTATTTATGCTACTACAGCTGTGCTGTAAATTGTTGGATTTTTGCTTGCTTACTTGCTACCAACATAATATGCAATTTTATTACTTAAGCAAATAAGTTCTACTATGAACAAGTAATATCTTACCACTTGATATAGTGCCTAAGCTCAAGAAGCAGGCCGCACCATCTCGAAGATAGTTTGGCAGTTGATCAAATGGGATACCCCATAACTTTGACAAGAAAGGGATGAGGAGGCAGATGAAAATTGCCTGCATTAAACATTAACACAAGCTTACCAGGCTTCAGCACCAGTAAACAGGTGGATAATGAGCTAAAATTTTAGACAACACTGAGAATCTAACAGACAAACCTGGAAAGCAGATCCATAGGAGTTTACAACAAATAGATCCACTTTACCTCCCTGTAATAGATGTATACAATTATCATTAAGATATCACCTGATAGTTTGATAAACTTCAACTTGACGGTGAGAGAATTCAATTTAAGTTTATTTTGGAATTTCCTGGGCACAAGATATGGACCTAAAAAAATTATGCCATCTTGAATATTTAAAATAGGTTGAGTGATGAAACACTCTTTTTGCAACATTATTTCTCCCCTCGGGGCTGATCACATGATGAAATTTTGCTTTTCAGATGCAGTGAACCTTCAGTTATATGATCTTTTTGCAATGTCCAAACAAACAAAAAATGACTTTTGGAAATTAAAATTTATAGGAGACTAGAAGCATGCAAATGGAACTAGTCTATTGGTATACCTACCTTCAATCGCTGAGCAGAATCCAAAAATATGATTTCCTACAAATAAAAAATGCACCACATAAGAAACAGTACAAGCACCAAGATGGAGAAATTAAACATTACAAGCATCAAGAAAGCTATCAACCTTCAATACTGTATCAGCAGCTTGGAACAAAAAAGAAACTATCATCAAAAGGCTCCAAAATATGCCAGCTTCCATCAATGAATTAGCACCAGATCCGCTGCAAAAAAATAAAATAAAATAAAATAGAGTTGGGCATGTCCAAGTGATAATGTCAAGTTAGCAAATGGTCCAAGTAAGAATGCATGCACTAATTGATTTTTCCTGAGGGACAGGCCTACATTGTAAAAACGTGAGGTGGAAAACCCTTTTTTTTGTTCTCCCTGTTGCAATATGTGATAGGTATTGGTGGAACTAATGAAATACTTCATTTATGAAATAGATCAGATTAAGTATAAGAAAAGTTTCAACAAGAAGATTCAATTCATAAAAATTAACCAATTTCCATAAGTACTTTCTCAAAATGTTCCATTAAACTCAAGTAGGACATCTGGGAATTGAGCGGCTGTGAGAAGAGGAAAAACCATCAAAAAACGATGCTTGTTCGTGAATGTTTCTACCTCGATTTTTTTTTTTTTTAAATTCTAGGTTTTCAACATCCTAGTCTTTAGAGGGACAGATTGTTTGAGGTGAACTTTTGAGTTCTACACCTATGACATCATTTGCTTACCTCGCAACAGTTACGATGACACCAACTGCCACAAGAAAGCATCCAAGCAGCTGGTTGAAACTATATCTCCTCCCAAGGAGAATATATGATAGAAGAAGTTGCCAGACAAGAAAGCTCTGCAAAGTAATAAATAGCAGATGACCAAATTAATTCTCCAACTTCCATACTACTATTTAGAATAAAGATATTCACAGACTCAGCCAAGGCCACAAGTGCCTGAGATTATATCAATACCAAATACTGTTTATATGCATATATCCTAAAAACTCAGGACTAACGATGTACTTGTTTTCTGTCAATCCATTTTGACAAGCCTAAAGATTGGGTCCCGGCAATGCTAACTTCTCAGCCCCTGAAATGGAAGTACCATACACGCATTCTGGTTTTTAGAACTGCACATTTAATTGGTTTGGTTTGTGTGTCTGTATTTTTTTTTTTTTTGGGAGGGGGGGCACATTTTTTTCATACTGCTACTGCATGCATGTTCTTTTCCATTCCTTTCAAATTTAGTTTACTGTCATCTTTGATAATTTCATATGAGCTTCGGATCATCTAACTGTGCCAGTGCTTGGCTCTTTACCTGCAAACTTGGGCATATGGACCAAGTTTGCACTATTTGCAGAGCCCACACATTGACAAAAGCAATCCAACAAGAGGTGTTGTTTTTCAGTTAATAATTTATTGAAAATGAAAAACAAAACAAGAAAAAAGGAACATTGAATCCCTATTTACCTGAGACAAAATGGGAATTGAGGCACCAGAAAGAATTGCTGTTTCAAGAAGAGGATGACATATAAACAGAATCAGTCATACTTTAGGCTCTTCTACGTGAAAATTAACACATAAGTAGCCGAAATATAACCCCCAGAAAAAGGCTAAAACCTAATAAGATATCAGCTATTGCAAAGAATTGTTAGCATTAACAAAAGAATTGTAATACATCGGACCAGAAACAACAGAAGTTCTTTCAAAAGCAAACAAAAGATAAAACATAAACAAAATTAACAATACGTTCACAATTCCACGTTGACAAGGGTTGAAACACTGGACAAGATAACTTCACATTATGGATTCAGTAACTATAAGAATCACAAATCCATATTTCAGACAAGTAACTAGTGGAACCAATAGAAATGATCCTAGATCAGAAGAAAATTTTGAATCTGGAAACCCCAAAATTTAATTATCAATTTAATATATCTTCCCTTTGTAAAGAGAGCTTATATCTTACATTGACTGATTAGAACTACCCAAGGTTAGTTTATATACTTCAGGGCCGCTCCACTCATTGTCAATAGATTTTGAGTTAAATGCTTTGAAGAGACATCACCTCTAGTTTTCTTTGCCCTACTATAAAGGATTTATTTTGTACATCTTTTAGCTGTTAGCAAACTAATGGAGTCGTAACAATATTTTCTCTCTTTCTTTTCCTTCTCTTCTTCATCAAAGTTTACACGGTATCATAGCTAGGCCTTGAGTGGATAGTAGGCCAAGTTCTTTTCCCACTTGAATTTCCCGGTAACACAGTTGTTTGTTTGTTAGCCCCAATTGCAAGCCTAGGTCCTACATGCAGAAAGGTGTAAAGGGAGCTTCTATCCCACCTCGACTAATTAGGACCACCCAATGTTAGTTTATATAATGGAGGGGCATCTCCACTTATTATCAATTAGCTTTGAGTTGGATACTCTTAACAACCTTAACAAAAATGTTCTAATCAAGATATATTTTTTCTACTCCAGTCAGTCTGCTCTACAAACAAGCATATCCATAAAATACATGGCAATCATGACCTCATCAACAACCTCGACATATAAACTTTTTAAGTTTGTTTATTTCTTTTTACGTCTTCAATGTGGATAAAATTATTCTGTCATACAGGTCCACTACAATTTTTAGTCCAGATTGAAAATTGTCAATCAATCATGCTAGAGTTCTTACATTTTTAGTAATGAAGGGTAGTATTGTAATTCTCATACTATCAATTTTAGTATAAATAAGAATGTAGAGCAATGTAGCCTACACAACAGTTCGGTTCTCTAGTAAATTAGACTTCTCCTAATGTTCCAATTACATCTATTATTAATTCTCGTGATGATCGTTCTTCTTAGCTTCATCAACTCATCCAACAATTATCTTCACTTTCTCCACATTTATCTATTCCTACTATCGGTCTTGCTAATGACGGTAACTCTGCATGTATGGTTGCTCACCCATCTTCGTCATCTTAGATCAATTATTTAGGACTAGTGCTTATAAGTATGGTAATTTTTCTTTTTTCTCTAATTTTTGTTCGTCTAACTCATATATTGTATTAGTTGATGGCTTGTTTTGATTAGTGCATGGGGGTTGGCGATCTCCGTCCTACTCAATCAATGTCATTAACTTCTGGTCTATTTGTTTCCTAATTTTCCTTTTAACTTGTTGTCTATAAGTCAGTTTACTAGTTCATTACAATATTCTGTACTCTTCTAAATCTTCTCTCCATCCTCTTGTATTTTTAGGAGCTCAAAACGAAGAAAGTTCTTGGTTTGGCGCATTAAAAAATTGCCTTTACTACTTAAATTTTGTTGGTTCTATTCTTTCCTTGAGTGCTACTTTGTCTCCTCTTCAGTGACACTTTTGACTAGGTTATACTTCATTATAAAAGTTACAGCAAGTTATTCCTGGTTGGAGTTTTTCTTCTGTGTTAGAATATGACGCTTGTCAATTAGGCAAACATCACCATGGTTTTTTTCTCTTAGTTCTTCAAGTCATCAGTCCAATCCGTTTTATGTTATTTATACAAACATTTGGGGTCCTGCAAGATTCAAAAGTATTTATGGGTTTCACTATTTCATGATATTTATGTTGTCTCTCGTATGACTTAGTTATTTCTTATGAAGACCTTTCTGAATTACCCAAAGTCTTTATCACCTTTTATAATAAAACTCTGACTCAGTTTGATGTTCGTATTAAAGTCCTTCAGTTTGACAATCTCTTCAGTATACTTAATCATTTATGAAAATCTTTTGTGTTGACCGTAGCATTATCCATCAAACCACATGTCCTCATACTTCTCAATAAAATGTCGTTGTCGAATGTAAATATCGTCATTTATTGGATGTTGCCCGCACCTGGATATTTAACATGCATGTGTCAAAATCATATTCGGATAATGCTGTTCTTACTTTAGTTTATCTTATTAATTGCATACATTCTCCCATTTTAGACAACAAATCTCCTTTCTCATTAATTTATCCTGATATATCGCCATTTAGTTTCAGTCCTCATGTATTTGGTTATATTACATACGTTCATCTTCTTGGTTTGGGTAGAGATAAACTTTTGCCTCGCTCGATTAAGTGTATTTTTTTGGGATATTCTCGCCTTCGAAAACGTTATCGCTGCTATGACTTTGTTTCTCATCTATAATACATCGCCATTTGGTCTCACCTCTCGTGTCTTTGGTTGTATTGCATTTATTTATTTTCTTAGTTTGGGTAGGGATAAACTTTTACCTCGCTCGGTTCACTGCGTCTTTTTGAGATATTCTCGTACTCGAAAAGGCTATCATTGCTATGACTCTATTTTTCGTCTATAATATGTTAGTGCTGATGTTAACTTTTTTTAGTCATTTTTTTTTTTTTGCATTAGGCAATACACTTTTCCTCAATTTTTTCCCCAAGTTAGGGTAGCTCTTGTTACATATTGTACCAGATTGTGTATGTTCTTTGTCCCCGAGTCCTACTCCTTTGCAAGTTTATCATCGTTCCAAGGACAGACAGGTTGTTCTATATGCTCTAGCTCCACAGTCATCACTTGATTCTACTGAGTGTTCCTTCAACCGTCAGCTAGTTCATCATCTTCTGATTTGCCTATTGAATTGAGGAAAGGTACTCGTAATTGTACAAAACATCTAATTTCTAATTTTATTTCTTTGTACCGACTTTCATCATCTTTTTATTGTTTTGCATCAACTTTATCTTCGGTATTTTTTCCTAATTCTTTGAAACAAACATTGACATCCCTTGGTTGGAAATAAGCTATGGAAGAAGAAATAAAAGCCCTTGATGAGAACCAGACATGGGACCTTACTATTTTTCTTTCTAGTTAATAGTCTATCAATTGTTGATGGGTCTACACAGGAAAGTATCATCTTGATAGCTCATTTGAGCACTTGAAAGCCCGTCTGATTATCAAAGGTTACACCTAGACATATGATGTGGATTACTATGAGACTTTCTCTCCTACTACCCGTCTTAATTCTATTAGAGTTCTTATTTTGGTTAGAGTGAGTTGTGAATTACCTTTATATCAACTGGACATCAAGAATGCCTTTTTACGTGGAGACTTACAAGAGGAGGTATATATGGTACAACCTCCAAGCTGTGTTGTATCTGGTAAAGAACAGTTAGTGTGTCATCTGAAGAAAACACTATCCAGCCTGAAACAATCAAAACATGGTTGGGTTGATAAGTTTAGTACTGTTGTATTTCAGTATGATTTTTAGCATTCTACTTCAGACAATTCAGTTTTTATTCTCCGCTCTTCCACTGTTATTATATGTTGATGACTTTGTCATTAGCAATGATGACTCAGATAGTATTGTCCACTTCAAGGTCTATTTGTGGAAGTAATTTTATACCAAAGATTTATGTATTCTTCGATATTTCTTGAAATCGAGGTTGCTCAGTCGAAAGAAGGTATCAATTAATGCCAACAGAAATATATATTATATTTATTATCTGAGACTGGAACTCTTGGCACACGTCTAATACTCCTATAAACTTTACACTTAAGTTAGATGCTGAGACTGATGAAGGTTTTAATGAGATAAGGAGCTATCAGAGGTTAGTTAATAAACTGATTTATCTTATAGTTACACACCCTGATATTACCAATGTTATTGGTGTGGTTAGTCAGTTCATGCACGTTCCTCATAAGCCTTATTGGAAGATTATTTGTTGTATTCTGCGGTATCTGAAAGAAGCACCAAAAAAGAGATTATTATATTGTCCTTCAACATCCATGATTGTTACTGACTTCTCTAATGTTGATTAGGTTGACAGTAGTATTGATAGATGATCTACCTTAGGTTACTATATATTTATTGGTAGTAATCTTGTTACTTGGCATAGCAAAAAACAGAATGTGTATATGTATCAATGTGCCCTTTCCTATGGAGTTGCATTGTAATAACTAGACAACAAGATTCATTACAAAAAATCCAGTATTTCATGGGAGAACAAAACACATCGAAGTGGAATTCCATTTTATTCGAGATCTTTTGATGAGTAAGATTAAACAATTGGTTCGACCAGTCTTTAATAATTTTTGTTCCAAGTTGAACATCTTTGATCTTTATGCTCTAGTTTAAGAGAGAGTTGTTAGAGTTCTTACATTTTTAGTAATGAAGGGTAGTAATGTAATTCTCATAATATCAAGTTTAGCATAAATAAGAGAGTATACGCAACGTAGCCTACACAACATATTTTTCCCTTTCTCTTTTTCTACTCTCTTCTTTTCTCTTCTCTTCTCCTTTTTCTTACAAACCCTAACACTGCTTCTATAATTTCAACCAATCATACATAACTTCCATTCAATTCATTTTACACTATATGGCGACTAATTTCTTGCAAATGTTTTTCTTTCTTCTTATTGCTCTTGTTCATTTCTGTTTTTTGGCATTCTATATAATTCATACATTTTATGCTCCGTTTGGTATGATAAAAAAATGGAAGGATAAAAAGTTGAAATGATGGAAAGTTGGAGGGATAAATAAAATATCATGTTTGGTAAGGAAGGAAAATAGGAATAATGAAAAAGTGGATGGATTAACTTTTCTTCCAACTCATCAAAATCAATCCCTCTAAAGTCAAAAGAAAAGTGGATGAAAAGTTAATTATTTGTGTTAAGATGTATCTTATTTGTCTATATATCTTTTAATATATACATATATTATGTATACATTAATTTTATATAAAAATACAATGATAAAATATATATATATATATATATTAAAAAAATTTAAAAATGAATTTAAAAATAAAAAAAAATAATAATAATAATAAAAAAAAATTTAAAATTGAAAAAAATATTTTTTCCATCTTAACTAAGGCTGAAAATTTTTGACTCAACACGATGACACAACTTGAATTAAACATGAATTTTTTGACACGAACTTGAAAATGACCTGACATACGAACAAAAAATATAAAAGGTTCATATTTAGTTCAATCAGTTAACCGTTTATTTAAAAATAAACACTTTCTCTATTTTTTTAATTTGTATAATAACACGAAATTAACATGAAACTAACATGTTTAACTAGTATTATAAACATAAAATATTAATTATTTATAACTATTTATTAAGCACTAACATAATTATTATATAAAAAAGATATTTTTACTTATTATTATATTTATTTAAGTTAATTTTTAGTTTGTAGAAAAAATATTAACATAGATTCAATTAAGTGAAAATAAAATATTAACATTAAATTTTTTATTCAAAGTTTATGTGGGTGAACACGAATACGACACAAAAATAAACAGGTCAACACGCAACTCAATACGACACAATTAGTTAAATAAGTTGAGTTAGGTTTGACTAATGTTTGACACAAATCCGTAATGACTCGATACGAATTTAACACGACATGACTCAATTGTCACCCATAATCTTAGTCAGCACAAAAAAAAAAAAATAATTTAGTCATTTTTATTTTTCATCTATCCAACCAAACACAAAGGAAGGAAAGTGTATCATTTTTACTTTCTTTCCTTGAAGAATAGAAAGTGTGTCTCTCCTAGTTTTCATCCTTCTTACCAAACGGAGCATTAAGGTACTGCTGCCTGCACCCGTTTTGAAGCATTATAGTTAACTGCACAAACTTCTGTACAATAGATCATAAGTGAACATGGCCTTCGATGACGCTCTCAAACTGATTCAGTGCCTTATCCATGCTCTTCTACTTCTCGTGGCAACATCCTATGGAAAGGTAGTTTTATCTACTTTCTTTGATAGTTTCACTCAGCGGCTTTTCGAGAAAAAGGAAAAGTACACCTTATCCAAATTTGGACAATTGATCCAAGATAGATAAAATGGCCAATGTTAATTTTCTAATGCTCATCAATTTTTCACTATCGCTACACAAAAATCATACCCCAAGAAGTTTGTATTGTTCTTGTAAAACATGACACCTTTTGGTGACAGTGCATCTCTTCATACTTTTGAACTTTTCATACCCCGTACAATGTCCTATCAATTAAAACAGCATCATTGGCAAACAAAATGCACTTATATAGTGACCAGAGCCAAACGGGTAATATTTTATTTAAACCGCTGTGAGGTAATAATCTGGGAGCATGATGAGTACTATTGTACTAGTCAGATTCCGCTAAAGACAAGTATTGGGGAAAAACCACCAAAGAACATTACCAAATGATATACCCCATTTGAAGGTGAAGACCATTTCCAGGAAAAACAGGCTAGAGAATGAAATGAAAGGAGAACAGAGAACTGTCAAATATGCATTACCTCCAGCTGCCATTCCAGAAGCAGCACCAAGAGCCTCTAGGAGACCAACAGCAAGATACGGAGCTTTCGGCAAGGAAAGCATTTCATCAGTAACCTTGCCAGTATGATAGCGGGCATACAAGATGGAGAAGTATACAAGCACATATCTGGAAAAAGAATGAAAAGAAAATGACAAAGTTAGTCTCACCTGGAGACGACATGTTTCATCCTTCTATATAGTTTTCCCATTGGCTTCTGAAAAAATTATGTACGAGAAAAACTATCAAATTTGTGTTTGCAGGACTGAAGGATTCATTTCACTTAAGCCCACGACCCAATTTTTTTTTTAAATTAAGCTGAAGACTTGTAATGGTCACACTGGTCTTGTTTCATCTAAGGTGACAATTCTAGGCGATGTGTACACTCATCACAATAATAGATAAAAGTACACTACCTAACACTGCTCAACATGGAGTATATATCATGTAATCAAAGCTAGGCTACGACTCAATGCCTTAGTGAACAAATTGATCATTGGATTTCACAGATTGAGTAAAATGCTCCCCCGTAGTATCTTATTTGGAATGAAGAGACAATCAAATTTGACATGTTTAGTTATCCCACGAAACACTAGGTTGTCAACTATGTGAAGTACTGCCTGATCATCACATAACCAAACTATCGTTTGTTATTGCCCACTTCAGCACTCAATCATGCTGCCACAATTTACTTATTCCTGTTCACAAAACTCAGTTGCTCACTAAGAAAGTAAAATATCTTGTAGTTGACCTTGGATCTCAGGGACATCCAACCAATCAACATTGGTAAAACCTTTCATTCTAAAATGTCCACTTGACCGATACACCAATCCAAGTCCAAGATATCAAAAAATAAGAATAGCAGCCTCCAAATGTGGTACTAAAAGTGAACCCATAAACTGGATTACAACGCTCACTGCATATGCAATATCTCAACGAGTAATAATGAGATAATTCAACTTCCTGGCCAACCTATGATATCTAGTAGGATTTCCAAATAGTTCACCTTCATCCACCAAAAGTTTTTGATTATGATCGATAGAGATAGAAAAATCAACTGCTGTACCACCTAGTAAACTTATTTTTCTGGCATATAAAAGTGCATAATTTCTCTTAGACAAGCTAATACAATTATTAGCTTTAGCAACTTCAATACCCAAAAAGTATCTAAGTTAGCCTAAGTCTTCATTATGAAACCAATGTTGCAGAAAACCTAAAATCATCTCCAAAATTTACAGTATTATCCACATAAACACGTATAGTGCAAGTTGAATACGGATGATCAATCTGATACATGAAGACACCAAACCCAAACTACCTATGAAATTTTACCCAACCATGATCTTGGTAATTGTTTAGACCATTCAAAGCCATCTTTAATTGACACACACAACTGTGATATGCACCTTGAGCAACAACTCCAGGTGGTTGCTCCATGTAAACCTCCTCTAGCAAGTCACCATGTAAGAAAGTGCTTTTAAGATCTAACTAAAACAAAATCAAGATTGGCAGTCAAATAAATCAACACATGAAGAGAGGAAAACTAAGCTACACAAAAAAAAAACATCTTCCGAAAATCACACCATAAAGTCTTAGTATATCCCTTAGCAAATAGCCGTGCTTTTAAACATTGAATAGATCCATCAAGGTTGAACTTCATAATATGGACTCATCCACAACCAATTGTAATTTAACACAGGACAATTACACGAGATCCTATGATGATCCAAAACAAAATATGCAAGGATGTATGCTTCTGTAATTGTGGTTATGTGTGAATTGTAATGCGCATTGCATTACTTACACTTGAAACATAAATGCTTAAAGTTATCTTCGAGAGACATCTGTTGAGTAGACAAATTTTGATTGACTTTAAAAGTAATTGGAAAAAGGGATTATGGGTCATGAGATTTGTATTCCAAGGCCTAATTTAATATTTAAAAGTACAAGGGCTATATTTGTAGTTACTCGTTGCAATAAGAATATCGAGAAGATCATTTCTTCTCATTTTTGGTAACCATGGAAGCAATGGTCAATTCCTCTTCATTCTCTCTCATTTTATTCTTTGAAATTCCTATGCACATCTAAATGTAAAAGACTAAACTAGTTAAGTGGAATATAGCAAGTCTATCTCAATTTAAGTCAGGGTAAATAATCATTTAGTTCTCTAATTCTATTTCATGCACTTGATTATGGTTGATAATTGTGAAAAAATGCATGTGGTCATAAATGGAAGATTTAGTTATGGGTATTCCCAAATTATACTTGAATGATTCATGCATGTAGATTTGGGTCATGATTAATGCTTGGTTACATTAGAGTTATGTATCTCTTGATTTAACACATTTGGATGGATTTACATTAAAATGTGGTTTTGTATGGGGAAAAATTATGTAAGCATGCTGGCCTAGTGTTAGAGCACTATCTATTGGAATGTGAGCCTTGTATCATCTTGGTAACAGAAGACCCCACAGAATCACCCTACAGTGAAAATTTTCAAAACCACTTATCCAACGAAGTCATATTTCGCTTCACCAGATTTCCCACAGCCAATCCCCTTTTATTTTCCCATTTAACAAGGTGGTTCCTCATCTTTTCACTACTGTCAACCCAAAAAAAGTCCATCGTCATCTTATTCATCATCTTTGCTACTGCAGGTGGGATCTTAAAAACGAAAATAAAATAAATAGCAATAGACCCAAAACAAAACGAACTAAAGTAAGCCTCCACACTCTAGATAAACAAACAAGCCATTTTCCAATCTTCATAGAATTTAAGCATCCCCTATTTTATCTCTTCCATCTACACCAAAAAGTTTCAACTCTGAAGACAATATCAAAAAAATTCTCTTTTTCGAAGTCAATTTTGAAAATGACCCCCTCCTTGCCCTTCACCTTCCTCTACCACGCCATTTGACACCAAAACATGATCCAAAATTTGCCGACCCTTAGAAAAGGCATTTTGATATGTAGAACTTTTATCACCTAAAACCTCTCCCAATCTAATGGACAAAACTTAAATAGAAATCTTATACATAATAGCAATTGAGTTGATCGGCACAAAATCACCGAGTATTAGTGGCATTTGGATTATCTGGGCCTTGTGATAAAGTCATGGCGACTGGCCTATAATGTGGACATGGCTGGTTGCAGCTATCATGTATGTTGCTTGTGAAGATGACCAAATCATGGTAAGCCCATCGTTGTTTTAGTCTTCACATTTAAGTTAATAGACTCAACTCAGTACCATGGTCTGTGTCAAACTCTTATTGAACTGTGTTTGTTTTGGTCATTGTGGTTGGGCAGTGGGTTGTGACAGTTGGACAGTGGGAGAGGTTTTGGCCGTGCACAGTTGTGGTTGGGTAGCGGGTGGACAATGGGTGATGGATGGGACAGTAGTCAGTGGGTGATGGAAGAAAAATAGTCAATGAGTGATAGAAAGTGTGTGGAGTATTAATTGCTCAAATTGGTCTAAAATTAACCATATCACGGGTATGTAGCTATTATCAAATCATAAGAAAAAAATGTGGTACAGGATCAAAACACAAGACAAAAGGAACTTTCCCAAGATTCTACTAGTGTGACGTTCGAAAAACACATGAACTACAGATACAAAAATTTTGATGTCACGAATCACGTGGAATGTTAAGTAACAATTGCAAAGAAGTGAGGCAAATAATTCGATTTTGATTTTGATTTCAATTTGGACTTATAATCTAACTACAAAATAAAGCCTTCTTGACCTGACGACTGTTTAGCCCTTACTGATATCATGTATATATATTCCTCTATTCCTTTCAAGTTTCAACAAGTCCAGAGATGGGAACCAAACGCTAATCACGAAGTACAATCCCTCAAAACAAAATACAGAGGTGGGCTAATTGTTAATTTGAGGAAACTTGAAGGGTGTCTATGTGATTTCGAAAGATTTTTCGCGATGCCACATGAAAAAAAAAAGGTTTTTTTTGGTCCTGAGAAAGACGTGAAAAAAAGTTGGCGAGAGGAAGGGCCACCGTGAAAAGCAAGCAGGCTGACATTAAGAAAAATGTGGAAGACAAAGCTCAGTTGCTGTTGAGAGTTCAATGGTTGTCATTCAAGCTGGACCCACCAATAATCACACATATTCGCAGCGTCCTTTGACAGAAAACACAAGAGTACAATAAGGGTAGACATATATTTACAGCAGTACCCCTTACGAAGTGTAAAATTTCGGTTTCAACCCTTTTTCTCCCCATTATCAGTGAAATTATTAGTTAAGAAATAAAATATCTACCTACCAGCACATCCTAACCGAACAATGCTACAATCATAAGATGCTTCATGATTTTTTTTTTTTTTTGCTATTTTAAAAAAGGGTGAGACAAAAAAAAAACGTTCAGAGACCAATATGATAAGTTTTTACTAATAAGATCATGACATTCACATCCTTGACCGTGTTCATTACGAGAACAAATATAACTAAACTACCATAACGGTCAACTTTCGAACTCTAATGTTACTTCTAAAATTCGAATCTCCAATTTTAAAGTAAAAAATTCGACCATACCTTTAATGGACCACTTTAATCTGTGATAATGCTTCATGATGTTACAATACTTTTGCATAAACTAATAATAGTTATTTAATGGGCATTGTACCACAGCCATAATTATTACATATTAAAAAATTGATCATCATTATGATTAGCACTAATATAATATCTTGCTTTTTTATTAGGTGGGAGAAGTTACCCAATAGAACTATATCCTGTTTTCAAAAGTATTATTGTTAAATAAATATCTTTTAGATATTCAAATAAAAAAGTACTAAAATAAAAAGTATTTTCTCAAAAAATGTGTGGCGGTAGTAGACGACAGCAGTGGTGATGGTTTAAAATGTCAATCTTAACTCATTATTCATTAATATGCTTAAACCGCTTATAAATAAATAAGTTGGATTCCTATATTAATTAATGCAAATTCTAAATGGGTTGGATAATATGATTCATTTTAATTAAGCAGGTTAATATAAATTATAAATGGATCCTCATTAGGTTGATTATTTATTTTTCTAATAAATAATACAAGTAATAAAATTAAATAAATATACTAATATACCAAAAATACACAAACACACTGATATACCAAAAAATACACAAATATGCACTAATACACCAAAACACACACATTAGCACACAAAAAACACACACTAATATACTATCCATGACCTACGGGTCATCCCTATGATCCATGGTTGACCCAAACCTGTGACCCATGGGTTGACTTTCAACCATGACACATGTACCATAGTCGATCCCGATCCATTATGTGTATATATATTTTTTTAATAGTGCTACACTAACAAAATATTGAGAGTAAATTAAGAGCTCAAATAACATTATAACTGACTTGAGTTTTTTTATTTGGTGTCATGTCATTTGGACTCTAATAAAGACTCTAAATAATATATTGTCATGTCATTTGAGTTTTTAATTTGGTCATAAAATTTGGTTAGTATAATATTACTGATTTTTTTTATTAAATATATTTTATTTTTGTGTTAGCACATGTGTGTGTACTTTTGATGTATTAGTGTGTGAATTTTTAGTGTTAGTTTGAGTGTTATGGTGTATTAGTGTGTGTGTGTATATTCGTATTTTGGTATACTAATGTGTGTCTACTTTGATGTACTAATATATATTTATTAAAAATTTTAATTATTTTATAAGTTAACGAATTTAACTCAATCTATTATAAATTTAACTATTGTCGTGATGGTGAGGACGACGGCGGGGAAATGTTTTGTTGAGAAATGTTTTTAAGGAAGCAGAAGATAAAGCTGAAGTAGAGAAGTCCAAACTCCAACGCATTTAGTCCGAGGGGGTGGATGTCAAAATCAGGATAGCCATTCGATTCGAGGCACCTATTTGAAGGCACGCGTAAATAATAAGTCACCCGGTACTGGTAGTGAATTGGGCTAGGCCCCAAATAGTAAAAAGACAATAATGTCCACATCAACCCTTTTTATCTTTTGGTTGGGGTATCCATATCCACCCCTTTTTCAAATTCGGTATCCAAAATGAACAACCAGTGCAGTATTTATTAAAGTTGGCCACTACAATGTTTAGGCGGCGAAAGTGGGATAGTTAGTGGTGGTCAAATTGGCCTTTTGGTTCCTTATAAAAAGCAGAACAATTGACTTCCTTTTATTAAATTTAAAATCTGAAATGAACTATGAAAATTTAGCTTTTGGCAATTAATTATGCTATGGGAGACTAAAAAACAATTCTAAACGTTTGACTTATTAGGTGCTCAATAATTGAAAACCGTTCATATACGCAACTACGCTATCATTCAATAATTTTTAGGTTAATTATAAAATATTTTTTTAACTTTAAATAATTTGTTATTCACCCTTGTGAGTTATAATTTCAACAAATAGTCCCTTTAAAATTAAATATTTTACAATCAACTCTGTAAGGGGTAGAACTCTCTACTAAGGATTTCGCAATAGGACCCTTTCCTAAGGCAATCCCACATCAGAAGAGAGTCGTCTCCCCCCTGCCATATAAGTGAACACTTCCTATGGAGGAGGTACCCACTAGGCCTAGTGGGTACCTTCTCCTTTGAGTGCAATGACTTATATGCGAGGGGGTAAGACGACTCTATTCCGATGTGGGATTATCTTAGGAAAGGGTCCTATTAGCGAAGAGAGGTAAATACTACTGTATTGTCTTAGGAAATGGTGCAGGCCAGTCAAAATCCTTTCGGAGGGAGGGAATCTTGTCCACCAAAAGGCGCCTTTCTGTAAGGGGTAGAACCCTCTACTAAGGATTTCGGCTTGACCTGGGTTAACCCACGCAGGCGACCCCCCAGTAGTCTTTACCTCTCTTCGCCAATAGGACCCTTTCCTAAGGTAATCCCACATCGGAAGAGAGTCGTCTCCCCCCCTGCCATATAAGTGAACACTTCCTATGGCAGGGGGAGGTAAAGGCTATTGGGGGATCGCCCGCGTGAGTTAACCCAGGTCAAGCCGAAATCCTTAGTAGAGGGTTCTACCTCTTACAAACTCTAATAACTAATTTTAGACATCAAAACATAAGTTAAACATAAAAAATTCAGTAATGTATAATTTGTTGAAAAGACACAATTAAAAGTGCAAAAGTGTTGGCGTTGGCGTGGGCGTTGGCGTGCAGTGTGTATTTTTTTCCTGGCTTTTTCGTTTCTTTATTTGTAGAAAAAAGTAAATAAATAATGTACGAGATAGGAGTGTCATAATACTTTCATGTTCCAAGTACTGCTAATCAGTTTAATCATCTTGAAATTTGAAAGGAGCAAATTGTAACATTTGAAACTTCAAGGAGTTGATTGCATCAAGAGACATTGTTGAAGGGGACAAATTATAATTAATCCATAATTTTTTGATATAAAAAATATTTTATCAACAAATAAAAATATATGACATTTTTATTTTACTATCTTGATGTATAAATAATACAATTGCATATATGCGCATTTATATACATTTGAGATTAAGCTTGAGAAAAACCAAAATAGTACCCAAAAAAAAATCAAATTTAAAAACTTATAAAATATTAATAAAAAATATCAAATATGATGCTAATAATAATAATCTTGGAAAACAGAGTCAAAATCGACAAAGGAAAAAACAAACAAAAGTTGAACGACACCTTGCACCCTAAATATATATTTATATTCTCAATTTACACTGGGAATGACTAAAATTTTCAAACTAGACCCTCAAACATACAAAACCGTAAGAATATGGTCTAAAATAACAAATTTGTTACTTTACTTGATAATATTTTGTACAGCATTCTTTATAATTTTTATGTCTAATTATTTGTATATTACTCAACTTTAAGTATTATAATATAAATTTCATACTCGATTTTCTCCACCCTAAAAGATTTTCATATTTCTAATTCACACCCTTAATCAATTAAAATAAATTATTCGCCAACAAAAAAATAAATTGGATCCCATTAATTAATATCCATAATCTATGATTAAGTTTGAAGGATTTAGTACTGAAAAGAATCCAAATTAAGTTTGATGATTAATATTTTTAACGCTGATGAACTACGAACAATTAGGAAAATCCAAGTTTGAATGCCATAGAGAGAGAGAGAGAGAGAGAGAGAGCTGAGTAAGTACCCGAACGTGGCGAGCTGAGCTAGAAAGAAGGGGTAGTGCTTGAGTGGAACCAAAGCCAACTTATACAGAACACGATTACCTACTCCCAACACCACCGTCACAGCCGCTGCTACCACCACCTCCACCCTCCGATCATCATTTTCCACTCTTCTCTCCTGCACCAACTCTCGAACCTCCTGATCCCCCACCGCGTAGGCGCACGGCCCTACCTTCTTCTCCTCGTCACCACCGTCATTTCGTACAGATACTTTTCCCCCGGGTCCCACAGCTTCGATCACCCACCGTCTCGATTGCCTCGGCGATTGCAGAATTATACCTCGCCGTCGATCGATTTGATTTCCAGACACTCGCCACAATTCGTTGGCGATTGCTGGTTGTCGCTGTGATACTTGACAGATGCGAGCCGTCGGTGATGCGGCTGCGCCGGCTATGATCCGGCGACCACAAGCCGACATGTTGTTTATATATAAAATTCTGTATGTGCCAATGTGTTTGTGTGACAGATGGAGAGAAAGAAAAAGAATTAGAAGGGATGAGGCGAAGAAACGAAAGACGACATTGACGCTTATATACGGACAGAGGAGTGTGCCAGATGTAGAGAGAGAGAAAGAAGGAGGTTTGTAGGTGACCGTCGCGGTCAGAGTAACTTTTCTCTTCTTTTATTTGTTTTCCCGATGCATCATTTTAGTACTGAAGAGATGGTGACGTGGAGTTTAATTTCGGGAGTAATGTCATGATTATCAAAATTTTTATTTATCAAATGAGTTGATATTTTTATATTCAATTAAAAATATTTTGATTAATATTTAATGAATTCAAGAATAATTTGGAGCTACCAACTTATTTGATAAAAATAATTTTTGATAAAAAAAAAAAAGTGATATGCATAGCATTTCTCTTAATTTCGGTACCACCTTACCTTCAAATTCTATAATTTTAATGGATATTTTTTTTTAATTTTTATGAATCGTTCTCTAACAAAAAAAAATTATAATTTTTATAATTATTTTTGTAATAATTTCTGGTCAACCTTGGCATAAAATTATTACAACTTAGGTAGCATGCATGTGACCCTTGAAATTTATTAGAACAATGTTACATGGATTTAAAAATTAAGTATGATAATTATAATCATCAATTTTATTGTAAATTTCAACATTTATTAAAATTTACTATCTATTCAATTTTAGTAATTATTAAATTTAATTTTTAAATTCATGTAGTATTTTAAAAATAGTAGTGTACCGATATTTATTATTTTTATATATTTTTTATTATTTATATATTTTTATCGCTTTTAGTATCACAACAGTGATAAATCATCCACAACAATTATTTTTTTTAATATAAAGTGACCTATAAAAATTATAAAAATATTTATTAAAATAATTAAATTTATTGATACAGTTCCAATTTGTTTTTTCCCGGTACCCTGGTCAAGTCTTTGAGTTTGAATCGAAGATTTGAGAAAACACGTTACTAACAGAGACGGAACTAGAATTTAAATTTATTAATTAACTGATTTAAAAAAAACTTCCAGACTGCCATTAAGGGACTACAATGGAATGGGCATAAATTTCATATAATAAAATTCCAAAGTTCAAGTATGAGAAGTATATTAATATCAAAAATTTAACTTTTGTATAAATAAAAAAAATAATAAGTTTTTCATAGCACTTTTCAACTCAATCGTTAATTAAAGTGAAATGCAACGGCGCTATTGAGATAATTGATCATTCTATGAGAAATTTCTTAGTAATTTTTTTTAATCTTAGTGATAAAATAATTTTTGTAAAAAGACAAATTATTTTGGCTTAGTACATGTCATAATTGGTGCGAAAATACTGAATTTTGGGTCATAACTGACCTAAAAAAAAAAAATTAATAACAACTTATACAATAACTTTTTAAAACATAAAAGAAATATGTTAAATAACAGAGGTATTATATTTGGTCAACATAGGTGTGTCAAGGAATTTAACATCTTTTTTGTATAGTTTAATACTAAAATGTTTATTTTAGTAAATTAGGAGGTGAGTGGACCACAAACTTACAAACAAAACAAAACAAAATAGGGCCACAATGTAAAACTTTGAAAAGTTTTCGGGAAAAATGTAATAAATCAAACACAAATTTTGTTTGCATAGCTGCTATCTATTCTCGTGAATAATTCCTCCAAAACTAGTTGCCCCCACCCACAGCCATACGGGTAGCTCCGCCCCTGGCTACTAGAGCCTTGAAGACTAGAGTTGTACTTCCATAGTATGTGTCTTGTGCTCAATTTTATCATACATTGCATGTGTTGACAAGACTAGTCATGCGTCTTTTGCCCGAGAGGTTCTCAAGTAAAAACTATTGTGTTACTTGGTTGGTTGATTTGTTAGTTTTGTTTAATTATTATTTGTATGGTTGAATAATAAAAATTAATGGAAATTGATGATGTTTAACTCAAAGGCGCGAGTTAAATGCTTAAGTGGAGAAGTTCAAGGCTATGAAACAGTGACTATAGTAAGAACAATACGTAAATAGACAGTGAATCAAAGAGCATCCAGGCTCTGTAGTACGTTGTGGGAAGCTTAAGGTAAAGGAACGAGCTAGAGAGTAAAGAATAATGTAAGGAATTCAGTGGTTCACCAAATTAAGAGTTTGACTAATCTATTTTAAACGAGTCTTTTGCTCATTTGGGGATTTTCTATTATTTAGAGAAGAAGATAAAAGTTAAAGCTATTGTGATTACATCTATTTTGTGGGACTGCCGCTTCTATTTATACCCACAAGTGGAGTGGTCCTCACGTCAACATCACTCGGTCCCTAAGTTTGTTAAGATTTTGTTAGGGGAATAATTGGCTATTAGAGACTATATTCCTTAAGTGTGATGTGGTCTTCTAGAATATATTAACATGGCCTTCTAGAACACGCTAAGAAGATATCTTAACCTATATTCGAGTTTGGATATATTTCGATCTTCGATATCTGTGAAAGGTCATATTGCTTGGAATAACTACTTATTCTTTTGGATAGCATGTGAATAAAGTGTTCGATATATACTCCTGACCTGAATTGAAAATACTAAACCTTCTCGTGAGATGATATGGACGACTTGATCACCCTTGTCTAAGGTCGTATATGGACGACCTGGACAACTTTGCCTAAATTACATGTATGACTGAAGGTCGAAGGTAAGACTTTATTATTGAACATTGCCGCATACGAAACATAGAGAATGAAAGGAATCTTATAATAAACTGTAATGCCATGTTTCAGAAACGCGTTACTTGATAAATCAATATATCACAATACCACAAAATCATAAATATATATCCAATCGTACACGGGACAAAGCTCCAATTACCTCAATAAAATTTATAATTACAAATTGAATCTTCAGACACCAATAAAACTTGCAATTTCAATTTAATAAAAATTATATCAAACTTTGTCTATTTCCAATTCCTCAAATATCAACTTTGATTCTTTCTTCCGAAATAATCCTGAAAAATATTAAAAGTGGAGAAATATACAATATGACGGGAAACAAGATGTTCAACAATAAAAAAAAACTTAGATGATAGGAATCATGGATAACAAAATCAAAAATCATATTCAACAGACCACATAACTCAATCGCTATCAAACATAGTCTCATATTCGATTTATCTGGATGTCATAACAAGTGACACTTGAACATATAAATTTGTACTCATATCACCTCTTGTAGGGTTATAATTAAATCAAACAATCATACCTCACGGGGCTACAATCATATTCTCCAAACTATGCCCCATGTACACTTGTGTACATGTATCAATCAACTCCAAAATATTTAATCCAAAATATAGGTCAATCAATAAAAGTGTTAGAATTTCATATCAATTAAAATAATAAATAGGAATACAAATTTCAAATAATCAAATGACACTATTTGTAAAGAGTATAAAAGACAATAGCATATTGTATAATACATTGTATCTCAAAATCATCAATAATTTCAATAGATAAGAAATTTGAAGTACCCTGAACAATACACTTCCATTTGGTAACGATCAAAAATAAAATTACTATTTAATTTTTGACTCCAAAATCTCATAAATATTTTTTCCTCTCTCTCTCTCTCCCTCTTCCTCTGCATTTTGCTTACTAACAACACCTTATATGTAAGGTGCAAATGCTTGGCCTCCAAGCTATTTACGCAAGGCTGAGAACATTTGATGATGTAAGACAAATTAAAATGTTGGACAAATGTCCATTCTTTCATGGTAATCTTTTTTTTATAAAAAAAGCATGTCACTTAATTACAAACCATATCTCCCATAGAATTATATATATATATATATATTATTCGTCAATTATATCATTCAAACATTATAGCATTTTTATTTAGATACATAATATAACCTATATTATAATCATTTAACTTGTTTTCACATAAATAATTCATATTTGAAATCCATTTATTTATTTAAAATTTTTAAAAATAACCCTTAGTTATATAGAATCATCATTGACAACCTAATTAGCGTGTTAGTAATTAATTTTTATACAGGTCGTCAAATAAACATAGTGGAATTTAAAAAATAATTATTGATTCCTTATTCTAAGATTTATTCATATTTAATACAAATCGAAAACTTTAGATATATAGAGAAGATTGAGGGTTACCTCATGAAACATGTTTTTAACAATTTTCAAACTTTTTCAAAAATTTTGAATCTTCAAACCTAAATTTAATCTTTTCCCCAAACCTCACAATCGTTTGATCTCTCTAGGTATCCACACGAATTGATAACTGGAAGGATCTACCTTAACCTTTAAAAAACTAGTAGAAAGAGAGCATGAAGGGAGAATTTTCTTGTGCTAGCAAGATAGAGTTGTTATTTCACATATCCACCTCCTATATTAAGGTATTGATAGAGCCATAGAAGACTCTAATCCTAGTTTGAGTCTAGTGACTCTTAATTGGGTTTTCACTCTAATTAACTCTTAATTGATATTCTCTCCTTTATCCTTTCGTTTTCAAGCAATTCTATTGTGTGTGACCATATAGGCTTAAGCATATCCAATTGTGGACATTTAATACTAACTACAAGTAGTATCTCATGTTAGAATTTTTTCTAATTTTACTTGAATTAAAACTCTTATTATTTTCTATTTTTAAAGAACAATTAATATATTTATATTAACTTATTCTTCGGGCTTCTACTAATCATGAGTGACACTTAGCAACATATCTTGATTAACCTCCGGATAGTACGAAGTAGGTAAAGAACTCATTCAGTTTACAATTGTCATGCAATTCAATCATTCTATCACACAATACCCCAATTGAATTATTAGGGTATGAAATTACTGTTCAACCTCTAATTCAATCCTATGTGTTCGATCTTAAGACTATGACTCTTAATAATCAATTAAAAACTCTTTTTCTAATTGTCATTTTGTCTTGGGCAAGAACTCC